CCCCCCCCCCCCCCCCCCCAGCTTCCTTTTTTTGACAGTGTATCCTCACACAAATAAATTTAATTGTTTTAATTCATTTTTATCCTGTGCATATTATATGATCAGACCATCAAAAACGTTCTCTATTTAAATATCCTGATTGATGAAGAATATAAATAGTGTGAAGTTTCTGATTCTTTATTTTTTTATTTATCAGTCAGCCTATGATGAGTAAATATTTCATTTTTATTTCTATGCTTCTTGTTCTACCCTCACAGCATAAAACCAAGTTTCTCGCGCGCGCGCGCACACACAAATCAACAGTTAATATTATAGTTTTAATATATATAAATATTTAGTTCTTTGGCAAGCTGTTGAGATGATACATCAGTATGAACCGTGATTACCATAGTAGCCATGGTAAATATTCAAAGTACACATAACGGCAGTCGCCATTGGCAATCATGGTAACCATTGTAAACAAACAAATTCCCGTTATGATCTCCAGATTTTAGCACTTCAATGTCCACCTCACGACGTTCCTAATTTGTCAGTTTGTTGTTACAGCACGTAGGATAGTCAAAACTATGATTTCTAGATCATGCACAACCTCCACATCAAATTTCATCCAAATCTGATCAGTTATTTTTGAGTTGTATTGGCTGGACAGACGGATGTAAGGATAGACACGACAAGCCTGTAATGCATTCTTGCTGTGCACTTCAACCAGAGAATGCCTAAAAGAAGGCATTTTCTGGGAAAGAACTGCTTATAAGTTTTACACAAACACCAAGGAATAATACTATTCCATTGATTAGAGTGATAAGCATGCTCACTGCCCACATCATTATTGAAAGACAGGACTGAATCCCCTGATGTTTCAGAATAAGACATTGAAAACTCCCTTTTGGAACAGTTGAAGTTAATGTAACGTGTAGCTGATTACACTTGAGTTCTTAGAATAGAAGACAAATTTATTTCACAAAGTTACAGTTTGTATATATACAGTGTGTCCATAAAATAATGGTGGGGTAACAAACAGTCATAGTTTTGGAACAAAGCACGACAGAGACATGAAATAAAGGTCAAAATAAAGAGAAACTCTCCAAGAATCTTACCTGTTCAGTAGATTTCGATATGCGCCCCTTTAGTTGCCCTGCAGACATCAAGACGATATTCAAGCTCTTGCCATACACGAACGAGAACATCCGGTGTGATAGATGAAACAGCATCAGTGATCCGTTCTTTGAAATGGTCCAAATTTGTTATTTGGACAGAGAACACTTGTTGCTTCACATAACCCCACAAATAAAAATCTATAGAGGTAAGATCTGGAGAGCGTGGAGGCCAGGCTATCCACCCTCCTCGTCCGACCCATCGCTGAGGAAATGTTTGGTTTACATGATCCCGCACAAATGTGGCAAAATCTGGAGGAGCTCCATCTAACTGGTGAATGAAGTTCTCCGGTATTAAGGAGTGGTTGAAACTTTATTTGGATTGCGGTGAAAATTAGAAAGAGGCTGGCAAATTCCAAGATAAAAGCAAAAAAGCAGTGTCTTGTGATGTACTTTTTTGCAAGAAATAAGTGACATCATATGTTGAGCTAATGCCTTAAGTACAATTAAAAAAATACATTCTGAACATTTAAAATTTCATTGAGGCTGGGGTGTAATGTGCAACCATGAGAGTGAGTTTCAAAAGATTATTATTATTGTCATTAATTCTTAATTCGAGCAAGCCTACAGTAGTTTGATTATGTAAAATAGAATACATTGTCGGTAAATGTAAAGTATTGGTGCCCTACTCTTTGAGCTTATCCATGCAAGTTTAATTTACTGAAAACAAAATTTGTAAAAATTTAATTTACCCTTTTGATTTTTTTATCAATAATTTCCTTTTTGTGAAGGGCTTCATAATACTTTACAATTGCCACATTGTTATTACATGACAATTTGAAAGGATGATTTTTCCCTTTCCCTCTATCTTGGACACCTCTGCAAGTTGGACACATTATTGTAGAACCACAAGTGTCCAAGTTAGAGAGATTTTAATCTTATTATACAAGTTAAAGCAGATTTAAATATCCATACTACAGTGCCACTAGCCAAATATTAGCTCTTGAAGGTTTACTGGTAATATACTATGGCATATAGCCAACTGGACCATGCTTATGCTGTGACACATGGCCAATAAAGGATAATGGAAGCTGTCAGCAGGATGAATTACCAACAACTGTGAAACTTCGCAGGACACTACATGGCAGTGTGCTATCTAACAGACATTAAAAAGTTTAATTTTTCAGAGGGAAAATCCTACTTTGGTGTTGGTAATGTTACCACCACTTCTTGAATAGTTGGATAATGGCACTTGTCTTGCAAATGGTAAAATTTTACTGTCATGTCTGACAATGTAGAGCTGTACCTAGATGTCCACCATAGGATTTTACAGCATTGTGTTCAGGCACAGGAAAAGCTATTGCAGGTCATTATATCTATTCTGAATAAGGATACCATCAATTTAAAGAAAACATGTGTTCCAAATACTGCATAGCTACCATCTCCGAATCACAGAAGAAGTAAATAGCGTATAGAATTTATAAAATTATCATAACTGACAGACTCTTTACATAATAATTGTCTTGTGATGAATCTCGATGTTCAACACCTCTAATAACAAAACCTACCTATGGACATTGCAATTCACATTCCCACAATATGTTCCTTGAGATCCATCATTATGTTGCGCTTCTTTCTGCTCCTTAGCCCTTCAGGTGTATGACTGCATTCCAATAAATTTACTGTAAAAAATGTATTAGTTTGTATGTTTGTTTTCCTACTTGATCAATATATCCTACCCATCATAATCACCTTCATTTAACTGTCCTAACATTATTATATGATCAGTATAAATGACAAGGTTCTTCCATATATTATTAGTATAAAATGTAAAATGAAGAGCATATTTGATATATCTGCTTAAAGTTTGCATATTACCATCAGTACACCATTGGAATTCAGAATTCAGTGTTTTATACATATGAACTTCCTGTGTTTGTAATATCAGCTTGCAGAAGACTCTTGGTTGTAAAATGGTCACTTTTTTAGGTAGTGTGGGAATACTGTATGTGGAGGATGATTGCTTATTCAGTCAGTTTATGGCACTGTGTCAAGTCCTTTAAGTTATGTATGATCTAAGGATGATTATGAATAATAAATAGTGAATGATCTAGGGTACATTGACTGATTTTTTTAAGGTACTATTTCACGGTTTGCTTGGAGTGACAGAAGACAACCGAATAGCTAATCTTCAGCCTGAATTGAAACTATAAATCTCCCAAAACAAGATGCAATCCCAAATTGCTTTTTAAATTTTAGAACCCTGAGCAGTTGTTATAAAATGATTTGTATATGGCATTTTGTGTTAATTCACTATTCCATAAAAAATATGCCTTCAGTGTGCCTGAAATCCATTCCTTCTCTTAGTATGTGAAATGAATTTCAGGAATCATAATTTCTCTTATGTCTTTTGCCATCTTCCTAAGCAACAGTGGCTGGTAATATGATCCACTGTTGAATCATTCAGCATTTTTCTATACAGAAATTAGCTGTTTTCTTAACACTCATAAAAATTAAAGCACATTCCATTAAACACTTATCTCCTTTTTTAAATGGCACACCGCATGACTAGGCAGCCATATTTAAATAACTGTAATCACAGAGACAGATTCATATGGTAGCTGTTTGGCTTTTCAGTGTATATGTTAAGTATTTGTATACATTATGTTACACATCTGTCATAATACATTTTCTCACAACAAGAAAGATGTATTTTATATGTTGTGTTTTCAAATTAGTTTATTTTGTTGCCTTAAACAAAATTATATTCCAGTGTTTGATCAAATAAACACTCAATTTTTTTCTGTCTTTCAGGTCAGAAAATTATTTGTACAGTGAAGGCAACAATAAAAACAACAAGGAGAGACAAGTTTTGCAAACTGGTGGAGCTGCCTTGAAAAGTGAACAAGTACAGATGTGCAAAGTTAGTGGGAAACTTTCTTCCAAGGATGAAAAATTGCTTGATAAAAATAAGCTTATAAAAGAACCACATATCTGTAACCTCTGCAGTATGCAGTTCATGACAAAAGCAAAACTAAAAATCCACATGAATTGCCACAATATGTGTAAGCGGTATAAATGTGATTTGTGTGGCAAGGAATGTATATCAGAAAAACTGCTCATAAGTCACAAAGGAACTCACAGTGATAGTCGTCCATTTGAATGTGATGTTTGTAAGCGGAAGTACAAAAGGCCAAATGAAGTAACAAGACATAAAAAGATACATGATGGAGACAGGAAGTTTGTTTGTGATATTTGTGGCTATGCAGCTGTGTACAAGTCATACTTAGAAGTTCATAAGAAGAGACATTTGGGTGAATTTCGTTTAAAGTGTGAGTTGTGTGGTAAAGGGTTCTTCACTAATTTTGAACTACAGGGACACATGAATGTTCACAAAGGTGATAAACCATATCAGTGTGACATGTGTAGCAAGGCATTTTTTCACAAATCTCATATGCTCACACACAGGCAAACATGTCATCCAGCTGAACTCGAACATTTTCAGTGTGACAAGTGTGGTAAAGACTTCCAAAACAAGCGGTATCTAGTAGCACACTTCAAAACCCATGCCACAGCCACTCAGTTCTTGTGTGACATTTGTGGTAAGTCATTGACCAATAACAATTCACTGAAACTGCACAGACTTGTGCACACAGGTGAGAAGCCACACACATGCTCTGTATGTGGGAAAGCATTCTCCAAGATTACTACTCTGAGTATGCACCGTGTGACCCACACAGGGCAGAGGCCCTATTCATGCAAAACATGCAGCAAGTCATTCACACAACGCACCTCTCTGGTGGTTCATCAACGCTACCACACTGGTGAAAGACCCTACAAGTGTCAGATATGCAACAAGGGCTTTGTGTCAAGGGCATCACTCAACTTGCATTACAAGAATCATTAATAACTGGTAAATTGTTTAATGATGTTAACACAAAAGTTAGTATTACTTGGTTGTATTGATTTTGGCTATATTTGCAGAAGACAAAGCTCAAAGCAGAGCAGATTGAGTATATAATTTATTGCAAGTGCCACATGGGATGACGGGAGGTCAAACTAACATCAAGAATAATTGAAGAATACAAATATAACTATCTCTCTGTTATGCATCATGAAGTTCATCTTACACAAATTCCCAAACAGAATATACACCTATATTCAAGACAGTTATTCTGTATGAGGTTTAGTGAATAGTGCTTTGTAGTATGGAAAGCAGACATGTATTATGTTGAAAATCTTCTTGTATATCTATTCAGTCAAATTTCACATTCTGTCCCTGATTCCTTCAATCCCTTCAACCCCCACTGACACTGTGATCAGATTTTGAAAATATATAAATGTGACACTTGAATAAAACCAATAGTACATTGAGAAATGTATTTCATTTTATGCATTATATTAAATTTTACATGAAAATGTGTTGGTTACAAGACAGAAAACCATCTATGTTGCTTCACATGTACTTATGTTTTACAATTAACCCCTTAAAAATAAAATGAGTGCTGCAATGTTTGTCTCAGTAGCATATTATGTTTAAATATCTCACACCTTGATGGAATTAAATGTCTAGTTCTTTTGTTGCTGTGTCTCCTTTCTTTCTAATAGTCATATTTCAGTAACTAATTAAGTTCAACAATACAACCAAAAGTAAAGTGAACATTTAGGAACACATTACTTATTATTATAAAACCATTATTTTTGGCCTACTTCACTGGTTAAAAAATTAAGATGAATTTTGAGTTATATAAAAATATAAATTGTGTTAAAAAGCAGGCTGGCTATATGCAACGATAAATGTGTTTCTGCTATAGCAATTTTAAACTTACAACATGGTTTGGCACAAGAGAGTACAGTGTAGAATTTGTAGCATGTCTACTTTCATTCATCATTTATTATAAGCCTCCCAGTCTTAGTGCTTATAACACCTCTTTGTGGTACACAGTATAATATTTCATAGCAACAAACCTTAGGTCTTGCTCATGCAGTGATAGTACTGAGAGGATGTCAGCTGAATGTTTGAATTCAGGCAAGTAGTCAAAAATTAATCCTCAGAATGGCAGACCAAGACTTCATGTTGAAGGTCCTTTTTTCACATCCTGACTAATGATGACTGTAAAGTACCCCTGTCAGGATAGCCACACTCTGGGCCAAGTTATTTAACCTGACACCTCATGATTATGAAGCAGAAATGCTAACCACTCGATCACCATCTTTAGTAAAATAATGTTGTATATTTAATATTAAAAAATAAGTCAGAGAAGTCAGGTTTTGAATCTGTTATGATACTGTGTGCCATATTTAATATTAAAAAATAAGTCAGAGTGAGTCAGGTTTTGAATCTGTTGTGATACTGTGTGCTAGGATTGAAAACAGTTTACTGCAGTCCTATTATCACTCTTTTTCTGTAAAGGTTTGCTTTTCGAACACATCAGAAGCCCTACACAAGTCCTAAGTGTCATGTGCCCGTTTTGCCTAAAATTTTCATAGTAGTACCTTGGATTTTTTGAATATTATATAATATTCTTGCCTCTACTTTTTGGAGCTTGATCTTAAATTAATTAAATTATGAGAATGCTTGCTTCCATTCATTTGAGAACCTGTTGTTTTTCCATCTTGTGTCTAAAAATGTATTGAAATATTCAACACCATGATTTTATTTCAGCTGCTGCTGTTTGTGAGTGCAAAACTTGGTCTTGAGAACAGGGTGCTGAGGGAGATCAAAGTGAGAGAAATTAACAGGAGCCAGAGAAGATTGCATAATGAGGAGCTTCATAAATTGTACTCTGTTATTCACCAGATATTATTAGGGTGATATAATCAGGAATGATATGATGGGCAGGGTATGCAGAATTAATGGGAAAGGTGCAAAATGCATATACAAGATGCTGTCAAAACGTTTCTGGACTGTAGTAAAAGAAACAAATTGTGGAAAAATGATTTGCTATTTCATGGTATCTTTGAATTAATCCCTTTTGCAAGGTAATGTACCTTGTCCAGCAGTTCTGCTGTTGCTGGAACCATTTCTGAAACCCCTGTTGCATAATCTGATGTTTTGATTTTTGTTGAATTTCCAAATTGTCTAACATATATCGTATCCTTTGAATTTCAGTTTTAGTCTTGGAATAAAAAGATTTACTGGAAGCCATATCTGTAGATTATAGGGGTTGGGGACCACAGTCAAAGTGTTCTTGGGCAAAGATAGGAGTGTGAGCAGGAGCTCTGTGATGATGCAGCAACCAATCAGCAACATAATATTTTCCTGGACATATGAACATAACAGCCTCCTGCAAATGCTGTAGGACACCTATGTTTAAGAGCTGGTTAATAGTTTGATCCTGTGGGACAAATTCATGTTGAACAATTCTGTTGGTATCAAAAAACATGATTACCATGCTCTTCATATACGAGCAAATCTGCTTGGCCTCCTCTGGACACAGAAATGAAGGGCTTCTAAAAAAAATAGGGTGACTGATTTCCTGTTTTCAGGACTTAATAGTCTTGCATGAGTTATCCCATTAGAAGTTATTTCATTAAAAATTAAGCATATAATAAACATACACTAATACCAGTTACATTGCGTTACCTTAATATGGCATCATTCAAATAATTTGTTTGGGCTTCTTTGTGACTTTTTTATTTTTTCTTAATTACATAGTTTTGGTAATTTCAAGTGAAGTTGTTTGGAAAGTATATGAACAAGTTCAGTGACATTTTAAAATTTTACGGATTTCATAGAAAGTAATGTCGTTGTCTCTCTATGTGTTGGTCACTTTATACTACTGATTCTAGCCATTCTTAGAGAAACATCATGAATCATGGACCATTTCAAAAATAATTCTGCAATCAAAACCAAGGATCTGCCTCTAACATTGACACTGAATTGACATCAAGGCTTTTGTAGTTGTGTAACTAAAACTCATGAACAATTCTGTTCCTCTTGTTTCAATTTTTCAGAAAGTTTTGCTACTTTACACAGAACATGAATAGTAGAACGATATTAACCTTTGTTTCTCAATTCTGAGCTACAAGAGCTTCAAACATAAGATGTTGATGTACTCCATTATAGAGACAGACCCTAATCTAACTGTTTTTTTCTTTGGGATCTCTGTTAGGTCATTTTAAATTTTATTATGCAACACTGATATAATCTATACAAACCACAAGTAAATCATTGTTTTGTTAGCAGGGTTGTTTAAAATAAATGATTTAAAGATGAAAATATCTATCAATTTGATGGTCAAAATCATATTAAGATGTTTTAGCCAAAAATGAATGCTTTATTGCTTTTATTATTCCTTGGTAACCAAATTAATACTACATAATGGGAAACAACACACAATGTGTTTTTAGAAATGAAACCAGTTTGTTTCTTTGTTCACTACTTTCTGCTTATGATGTGAAAACTGTATCTCCATTAAGTGTTGTGACTCACAGAATGGAATGACATCAGGTCTCTTGTTTTCTGTCCTGCAGGCTAATATTATGAAACTAACAATTAAAATGAAAGTCAGTGGATGATAGCATAATATTCTAGACATGGCACACACAAGTGCAAATTAATGATGCACTATAATAGGAGAAAATATTCAGTGCAGAATATTTAGGCAGAGACATGGAAGCATTTAACATCTAACTCCCTGGGAGCAAACCCTGCAGGTTCAACACCAAAGCCCACCACTGGCCATGATCCTGAGCCAACTTGATAAATTTCAGAAAAAAGTGGATGTATTCTAACTTGCTACAAGCAGTCTTACTTTTTTTTTTCTTTGTTATTTTATTTCTGGAATTACCAGTGGTGATGTGTTGTTTACAGTTTTGTAATATATAAGCTGAAAACAAAAAGTTAGAAATGTTGGGCCACGCGTTACAACTCTTTCATGTTTCCGATGCATTAGAGGCATAGAATTCTGTGAAGCATGTACATAATGTTTCTCATTCAGTGCATGTTGGTCTCCTTTACAACTTTCTTTGGTCACAAATTTGGGGACTGGTATGAAGTAAAGAGAACAGTGACAAATGTTTCCTACAGTGACATTCAAAGCACTTTGAAGTCAGGAATTTGGTTTTATATTATTCCATAATAAGGTATGTCTACAAACTACAGTGACAGTGCTCCATCTCCATGTTGCCAAAGCAATGATGAAATGAATCCAAGAGTAAAGGTTTGAGACCTTAACACATCTATTGTACAGTCCTCTTCTTACATCTTCTGGTTTTTCACA